ATTATGTTTTGATATATTTACGGTAGGAAATTTACAAAATGATCTTTACTTAATATCCTAAAGATTTTTGGCATAAAAGAAAAATGTATAATTTTGACCCATACAATGTATTGTTGGCTATTGCTACAAATATACCCCAGCGACTTAACACTGCTTTTGTGCTCCAGGGACACATATGACCTGATTATTTGCATATGTGTAATTTAGTCATTTAGCATTTTGTGTAAAACTATCCGTTAAATTAAATTTAAAAAATCGTATTATTTTAATGAAAGTATGCTGTTTTGTGTATTTCACATCAATTAAAAAAATTGTGCAAGTGGAATGCAATAAGGTAGGCTGTTTATTGTTGCCAAGCAACAAGGCAACCTGCTGCATTAATATAGAATTTGACTGATGTGTGGTCACAGGTGTGCGAATATCGGCGTGCGGATTTGAGGGTGGCTCATCCAGAGTCAGATCTATCTATTTAATCACACGTTCCGCATTATGTCGGCATCTAAGATGTTTTTTGCTTTCAATGACAAAATGATTGTCTTTTGTCATGAGGATACAGAACGAATAAGACAGAGAGCGAGGGACGAGGGTTTGCGAGGATAGCACCACAGCCGCTGTTTTGACTCGATGGATAGTGACTGTGACCTACTGATGCTGGATCCATTCACAGGGCCAGAACATGGGTCTAGACAAAGACTAAATCGAATATCTCAGCCTAACCACTTCAGCGCATAAAGGGGGATGAGAGAGGGAAAGGAAAAGCAGTGGAGTTAAGGGAATGTAAAGGGTCATCAAATCTCTAAGGACTGTGTCGTTTTTAGGGCTTTTAGACACATTGCGAACTGACAGTGTCACACTGTGCCTGTCCTCTTCCTTGTTTTGGACGTAGGTTAAGCTTTCAAAATAAATCAACATGTATACTCAGCTCTTCTTGTTGAAAGAGCATGGCCTGTAAAGCGCTCGAAGTCAGCGTCGGTGTTTCTGCAGCACCAACCAGAAAAATTAGGAGGTAAGATTTTCTGTGAATTTCACGTTTGGTCTATTGGAATGAGACAGTATTTCTGGACGGTAACTTTTTGGGTTAATTCTAACAATGTCTGAGGACATGATAGCGTGATTATCAAATTGCAATTGAAAGACTGTGTTGTAATTATATAAATCACCGGATTTTGGCAGGTGTGGCAAATGTTAGTTTTAGGCCCTGCTTGGCATAGTAGCACCCAAATCATTTGGACTAGTGTCACTAGTGTCCTGGTGTTAAATATATATGGCTTGTTTAATTCAGCAAGTGGCGCTCAGTTACCATCTCAGAAATAAATTCTACAATTCTACAATCGATATCAAGATGACCCCCTCCCTTAATTTTTTCACAATAGTTTTGATCACAGATGGCACAAAATATCATCTTGACACATTTGATGAGTTGCTATGCTCTTCTTTTTGTAATTTCATCAGAATATCAAAATTTATAATATTTAGTCAGTCAAAACAGCTTTGAGATTAATTGATCATCTCTGGAAAGTAGTTATCTGTGACAGTGTATTGTGTTTTATGTTTAATATCAACTTTTTTGGTGTCTTATTTGTTAATGAGTTATTTGTGGACACGTTGTTTTTAGATTTGTGGACTAAAAAGATATTGTTTTATATATACACACACACACACACACACACACACACACACACACATTCTCTTACCCTAATAATCACGGTTTATACAACTTTGGATATATATTCCTCCCAGAAAGTTGTGGGATACAATATTTCAATACAGTGTGCATATGCTGAAATATATTGTAGGTTATGTGAGTATTCCATGTAGCCTATAGAGAACATTTGCATAATTTGAAGTATTTGCATTGTAAACATGGGTATCGCATATCGCATTTTTCTTCAATATCGCACAGCCCTACATGACACATATGCAATAATTACATGAGTCATATGAAATCATAACATGCTTCTTTTGTTTCTTTGGTGAAATAAATAAACAGACTCACTTATCTTTACCTCAGAGGGAGAGTGTGTGTGTGTGTGTGCGTGCGTGCGTGCGTGTGTGTGTGCGTGCGTATGTGTGTGAGTGGTTCATGCCTGGAGATTGAATAGATTTATTGTCTTGTTTTGCGGGGGTCTTTGGGTCTGTCACCACTAAGTTGGGTTGTCAGACGTGTGTGTGTGTGTGTGTGCGTGCGTGTGTGTGTGTGTGTGTGTGTGTGTGTGTGGAAAGGATGGGTGTGGCAGGCTGACCATTCTATCATCTCTCATAATAACACCTGGCCAGTGAGCATATGATTTCTCCTTCAGCAGAGTTTGACCCTATAATTGGTGGTGAAGTGTGTCCACAGGTCTGCCACAAATGTGTCTTTGTGATAAGAACTGCTTCCTTCCTCCATGGCAATAGACAGGAAGTTACAGTGTTATAACCGTCTCTTTATACTGTACATTCACAAAGTGCAAAGGATGGGGAACTGGTGCTTTCCATATGTGATATGTGGAGACATGATGGGAAGTTTTTGAGGTCTCTTTTACCAAGGCTTTTCTGAGTCACCAGTTTTGATTTAGTGCTGCATTAATTCTGGTAAAAAAAAAAATATATATTTAAACAAATATTTTGATTGGGTTTTTAACTGTGACCAGGGCAGGTGATAAATTGATTATAAATACTTTCCTTGTCCTGTTTATTTTTTTTGTTTTTTGTTTTTTTGTGATCATGATAGTGATATACTGTATGCTGTATAAAAATTATTATACAGACGTTAAGTTTGCATTAGTAAGTTTGCATTTTCATCATTAAAATAAATGTAGGTAATGATTGTTTATTATTACTATGTAATTTCACTTTTAGGCATACAAATTATGATTTAGTAAAAAACAATGTGGAAAACATTTTTTGTTTTGTTTTTTTGTCTTGAATAAAAACAATCACAAGCAAATTTAGTAACAATTTAGATTAGGGAACACATTTTCTCCTTTAACTAATAGTTCTCTTTGCATTCACATTGTACTTGGACCTGAAAGTGGACTCAGATTTCTTGTTTGTACATTTTAATTTCAATTTCAATTTTCAATTCAATTTCAAAGTTCATCCATTCACCCAAAACCTTGTTTCTTCAAAAAGTTTGTAAAGAGATTGTAAAAGAAATCCATATAAATTGAGCGGTTTCATTTTTCTTCTGAAGAGACACAATCCCTTTATATGATGAACAGATTTAATTTAGGCTTATATTCAGATAAACTTTGATCAATGCGCATACATAAAGCACACAAAAGATGTGCACATTAAGCACTGTTGAAGGCTGTGTCAATTTGAAGGGTCCTTGGAACGCAGCCTTCGCTTCACGTTCTTTATTCAGCGTATTTTCAAGTCATCAATCAGATCCTTCACATTCTCTAATCACGAATCATTCCGGTTCACAAAAAAAAGATTTGGAGCAAAATGAATCAGGACTAAGCTTCGTCCAATTTCATTCTGTAATTTAAGAACAACATGATGTGTTTGGGAAACATTTATGGAGCCGTGCGCAGACGGAGTCTAACCTAGAAGCCTCAAAAGGACTGGACTAGAAAAGATGCCTTCGATTAGGAAGCACCTGTGGTCAGAGGAAGCTCAACCGTGCTTGCTTAGTTTGAGCTTCTGCAGGAACCAATGAGGTTTGTTCATGGTCAGTTTGAAATATAGAATGAGATTTTCATTGGTCATTGGATGCCTACATCATTGCACTTGCCGCTAGGGCGTTGCTATGTGGTTACTAGGGTATTCTAGGTGATTGCAGGGTTAGTGTTTTTACAGTGTTATATATGGGCAATATTACACGAGCAGGAGTGCGATATGGCTCTATATGCGATTCAGGGGGCCCCATCTGATATTGGCGAAACATATCTGGCAAACGCTCCAGTGTGTTTTGGTGTTCTGGAGAGCGTCAAATGTTCAGTCACTGCTCAAAACGCTGAGTTTTTGTCCAGTGCCGAGTTCTGCAAGCTCGCGAATCCTCTCATTATAACAACGTGTAGATACGATGTAAATAAGAGATTGATTGTGCGATGCAGAGAGATTCATTGATTAACGGGACGTCGTGAGATCGCGATGAACTGAAGTGCTTTTAGACAGCTTTTGGTCAATTTCTAGGCTGTATAATCCCATCTGACTGTCTCAGAATAAATATATATTAACCTCAGAGAAAGAAAGTTTAGCGTTTCGTGTCATGATTTTATTTGTCTTGATGTTTCAAAATGACTCGCTTGTGTGCTTTTCCTATGCACACCGGTGCGAACCGCTGCACACTCATACAAAAGCACGAATTTTTGCTACAGATTTTCACTTAATAATAGATTACATGTTCTTGGCAAACCCCTTAAGAACACTTGGAATACGGAACGAGTTGCATGGGATAATTTTATGACATTGGAATCCTTTTTGTAAAAATATCGAAGTAGGTTACAATTCATTAAATGTACAAGTGCAAGCATTTGTTTTTTAATATACAGTATATATAATGTCTTCTTTTGTGATCCGAAAAAAAAATAAGCATAATGTGGCTTTAGAACAGCATCAGGTTGACTAAGTATTTATTTAAGTTGTGAAGAGGTAAATAAAGCGAGCAAAATAAGGGTTAGGCGTAAAAGAGCACATAGTTATTGTGTTGGGGCCCCATACCTGAAATTTGCTTAGGGCCCCTGCACAGACTAAGGGCCTGTTTAGAACACAGAGTGATACAAACGGTGAATCCCAGTGCTGTTACTGGTGGAATATCATCACTCTTGGAAGCCTTTCGTCCAATCAGATTCAATTTTGTATAAAATGAACTACTGTTTCTAGGCCGTATCTCTGCTTCGCTTTTGTGCATTCCTGTTTTCCACCTTTGATATTTGGGTACTTGTTGCTTGTTGATTGTATATAAATGTGACTTTATTAGTCAGAAAAAGGGTAAATCTCCCATGTTGAGCAACTTGTCTTAAAAACAAACAAACACATGCAATAGTTGTTCTCTCTGATTCTTTTTGCAGGGCGACTTTGAAGATTCTGCATGAGGTTAGATTGTGGCCAGACCGAAATGAAATGAGTGGCTAACGACTGACCTCTTCCACTGCACCACCACCACCAGCAACCTGTAGCATCTATCCAGTGCCTCTTCACCAGCCTGATACACAAACACACCCACATACACAGAACACCATCAGACTGTAAGTTTGCCCTGCTTCAATTTCTCATCTTTTGTACAAACATTTCTCTCTGGTTGATTAAAGCGTAATATCAGGCTGTTGTCGTGCTTGTTTAGCAGTCACTTGAACACCCTCTCCCTTTCTCTTGAAAAAATAAATAAATAAATACACCACAACCTACAGAAGACAAATGCATCTGTTTGCACCATATGTGATCCAGGAGCACAAAGGCAGTGTTAAGTCGCTGGGGTATATTTGTAGCAATAGCCAACAATACATTGTATGGGTCAAAATTATAGATTTTTCTTTTATGCCAAAAATCATTAGGATATTAAGTAAAGATCATGTTCCATGAAGATATTTTGTAAATGTCCTACTGTAAATATATCAAAACTTAATTTTTGATTAGTAATATGCATTGCTAAGAACTTCATTTGAACAACTTTAAAGATGATTTTCTCAATATTTAGATTTTTTTGCACCCTCAGATTCCAGATTTTCAAATAGTTGTATCTCAGCCAAATATTGTCCTATCCTAACAAACCATACATCAATGGAAAGCTTATTTATTCAGCTTTCATATGATGCATAAATCTCAATTTCGAAAAATTGACCCTTATGACTGGTTTTGTGCTCCAGGGTCACATATACTTTGTGTGTTAAAAGAACACATATATAGACTCGCCTGTATTTGGGTGAATCTCATAAAATCTGTCAAGAACAGGCCCAGGTCATATTTCAAATAAAAATCTTCCATTTTAAAACCAATTTTGTTTTTTTACATTGTGACATTATTTACAGTTGAGCGCATTTCCCTTCAAATTGAGAAAAATTCTCATTGTCACTAATGGGAAAAAACTTATAATGTATTTGACATTATGATGTATATATATATATTTATTTATTTATTTATTTTAATTGACCATGTTCTGTCTGAATTCTCGATTCTGATTGGCTGGAATGTGTGTTGTGGAGGAAAAACTGATTCTAGACCAGCAATTACAGGCAGCATTATCACAGAGCTGTACACACACTCCGCCTCACACTGTTTATTACAGTAATGAGAATATCATGAAAATCATCATTGAAAGTAATGAGAATTATGTATAATCTCAAAAGTAAAATAGATGCATTACAGTAATGAGAATTTGGGGGTGAGGGGGGTGTGGGGATGCGCTTAATTGTCATGAAAATAATGGCATAATACTTAAAAATGATTGTGGTCCTAAAATATGCTTTATTTTCTTTATGCAAAATATAAATCCTTAGTTTTTGATCTTTTGCCAGCAAATTTTGCCAGTTCTCTTTCTCAAAGGATACCTTTGTGAAAAAGAAGTAAACTTTAGCATACTTTCAAAAAAGTATGTACTTGTATATATTTTTTGACATGTTTTTGAGACATTTATTTGAATGATAATTGCAGTCGGATCTCTGAATGCAATTTTATAATCACTTCTGTTTGTCTTTGAAATATAGTTCAAGTGTACTGCCGAATTTATGGTGTGCTGAAGTATACTTCAACATCTGTTGAAAGTTGTATTATAAGTTTTAGTTAAATAGATTTGTAATTACACATTTGTAATGATGAAGATGCAATTTGGTACTTAAAAAATGTATTAACTTTAAATGTAATTCTAAATAACAGACTACAGTAGAAATGATAATCAAGTACTTTACATGTTAGTGAACACATCTTCTGTAAAGCACCACAAAAGATTATTCAAACATAATGATTTAAAATATAATGAGAAACTTAGTCGTGAAAGTCTCTTCTCTGAGTACACTTTTGTTGCCTTATATTTCATTAATATTATATCTGCAAGTACAGTTTATTTACAATATATACTATTAACACTATAGACTTCAAGTGCACACAATACAGTTAAGTGCACTACTTTTTCACAGGGGATCGTGTAGTGTTGTCGTATATTAACTATGCAACCTTATAGCACTCGAAACACAAAACAATCTAAAAATGTTGTAGAAGTAAAAATGTATTATTATATTTAGCATGAATAAAGTCTTGCATGGCACTACCTTACTGCATTGCACACTTCAGTATAATTTGGCAGATTGACATCACACCAAAGGAAGACTTTAGCTGTCTCTTCATATATATATATATATATATATATACTGTATTTGTGTACAGTACCACACTGTTATAATACCACCGTCGATTAAACCAGGACGTCACCACCTGTGTTCAGTGTGTATTTTTCCCTCTTGGTAAACAATATGCACTCTAAGCAACATACACATAATGTGATACTTTGATTAATATCAATATTCCTAGTTCATATAAATCACGCTGCTGTAAAATCCTCATCAGTCGCTTGACTAACTGTGCAGATCCAAAGGTGCACCACAATAGCTACATTTAGACGTTTTCCAATCCAGATCAAACTAATTATTTTGCAAACCATTCCATATTTTGCATTGCAATTCAGACTAATACTGAATAACACGTTTATTTTAGGAATTTAGAGAAAGACTGTCTTAAAACTTTTTTTAGAGGCACTTGAAACTCTTCTGTCTGATCTCTGATGTCGTTATCAATCCTGAATCAAAAGCAGACCTGTCTTTAAGCTTGCCTTCGGGAAATCAAGCCCAAGACTTTTAGGAAAAACATAATATAATAATATTTTGTCTGTTTGTGTATCATCTCAGTGTGCGGCATTATCTATTCACATCCCACTCTGACATTGCAAAAATCTGGGCTTTGCATGTGTCTTATATATAT